CTGAAGCCAGGTCAGAAAAAGATCAACTTTGACTTGAGATAAAAACAACAAAGGTGAGAATTTGCATGTAACAAGCTTCTTAGTGTATTAGAATTAGATGGCATCTTTTGTTCATTTTAACTTTGTAACTTATTTTGATCTGTTTTCACTTGTGATCACTTAAATCCTACTTTTTATACTTAGTAAAAAAATACTATTGTTCATTATCAAGCCCCATGTAAATAACTGTTACCTGGGGAGGAGCAACTACTGTGCATATCTCTCTTGCATTGATCAAGTGAGCTAACCTTATGAGCTTTTTCTGTATACAATTTTTATACAGGGTAAGATGGATTTGTTTGAGTTTGGATACCTATTGGGGATTGAGCCCTGTTGAAGCCAAATTGGTTCAATGTCTGTGTTACTCTGAGGGGCGAACTGGTAACCACAAATCGGTGCCTTGACTGGGGAGGGGGGGCGGAGGGAGGAGGAAGGGGAAGAGGGAGACCAGAGCTTCTGGCTCAGTGGGATGGGGTAGTGAGTAGTCCCAGAGGGCACAGTGGTGGGCTCAGTGCCTTGATCAGCACACCAGTGACAATCCCAAGGGGATTTCTGTGATCCAACCCGTAACACGCAGCATTTACCTTTGCGAACGTATCCTATACCACCACCAATTGCCACCACTGCCGCATAACCAAATCCAATCCAGTCAACAATCATGATTACAACTCTAAAAAAGACAACAAATTGCAACACAGAAGGAGGACAAATTCTGCTTTAAAATAGATTTCTCATTTAGGATTATGAAGTGATATCCATGAGCACTCCAAATACTAATAAACAACAAGTTACAAGTTTCAGTATCGTGGCACTACCCAAAACGTGCATGTGCTTTTAAACTGAGTGTGTGAACTTTTTACTGAAACCTTTGTTCCTTCTCACATCCTCCTATCTGTCTATCCGCCCCCCCCCCCCTTGACCTTATAATTGTGGCATATCTAAAATGATGCACCAGTCATGCTTATGAATAAGTCCTGACAAGATTAGGATCTTAGAAGTAAGGATGTTAAGAGGTGGATAGTTCCCTAATCATGATTAGTTGATAAACGAAGGTGTGCTCAGCCCCAAGTCATGATGGAGCTACCCCTGCAGCACTCTGCAGTTTAAAAGTATTAAGAGCCAGGTGTACAGGCAGCCTGGCTCCTCCTACATTTAAACTGCAGAGGTGCAGCGATGCAGACTTGCTCAGTCCCAGCTCTCACTGGGTCCAGCAGCTCCTACCTACGGGGGGCCCAGCAAGGAGCTAGGGACCCTCTCTCACGGACAGGGGGTGCTGCCAGAACAGCCTCTGCCTGCAGTGAGCGTGGCCTGCCAAGGGAAAAGGCTGCTTTGCAGCAACCTCCCCTGTTCCCTCCCCCCCTGGGGCCACTGCCTCTAATGGCACTGACCTCTATGCAGTGCTGCTCTCCCCCTGCCCTTCCTCACCCTGCTGGGGGAGCAGCAGTGAGCCGGGTCTGGCGGGGAAGGTCAGGGTTTCCTCACTCCCCCCCACCCATGGCACTGGGATCCCTGCTGCATGAAGGAGGAGGGCTGAGCTCCCCCCTTTCCCACCTAACTGGGGGAACGGCAGCACACGGTCCAGAGGCTTTCCTCTCTAAAAGCCAGGTAAATGTACTCCCTCATGCTCAGATCCCCCTACCCCAATCCCTCTCTCACTCACTCCCTTCTCCCTGCCGAAACCCTGCACACCCTCCCTTGCTTCTGCCCAGTGGTGTTTTTTGTTAAACAAAACAAACAAACAAACAAAAACAAAAACAAAAACAGAAAGAAAGAAAGAAATGCCGGTACTCTAGGGGAAATGTTGTTGAGCTCTAACTGGAGGTGCTGGTACTGCGTATCGGGACAGTACCATCACAAAAAAAGCACTGCTTCTGCCCATCCACCCGCCTGCCTGCTCCCCTCCCTCCCCCTACCCCTGCCCCCAGCCAGACTAGGAATGTGAAGGACTAGCTGACTATCTGATAAACAAATGCTTATTGCATAGTCAACATGCTAGTTGACTAGTCACTTTCCCACCTCACCCTCCCCTTGCTACTTCTATCAGAAAGAGGCAGTGGGGAGGGAAAGATGAGGGGGTACTTCAAAGTGTCAGTGCCACTTGAAGCCTGGGGCTAGACCCTGGGGCTTCACGTGGCAGCGCTGCACGGAGCCCAGGATCAGCTGGAGACTTCACCGCTGACCCAGGGCTGCACACGGCACTGCTGCTATGAAACACCATAGAGAGCACGGCAACAGGCTCCTCCCAGCGTTTCAAAGCAGCTGCGCTGCATGGAGCCCAAGGTAGCAGGGGAGTCCCCAGCTGATCCTGGGCTCTGTGTGGCACTGACATTTTGAAATGTCGTGTGGAGCCCCTGCATCAGGCTGCACATGGTGTTTCAAAGGGGCAGCACCATGGAGCAGGAGATCAGCTGGAGTCCCCAGCTGATCCCAGGCTCCAGGCTGTGCTTTCATCTTTGAAGTGGTTGCTACACTTCAAAGGTGGAATCACCCCATTGACTAATTGAACAGTTGATGCAAAATGCATCCTGCTCCCAGCCTGCTTCTGCACCCCACCTCTCACCCTATTCCACACACTGGCAGTCTTATCCTGCACACTTGTCCCCCACCCCAGAGACTAAGGGGGGTCCATAAAATCCATTAACTCCAAAACCCCAGAAAAATAAATCCGGCCTATGGGAAGCGCTGAACCTCAGTCCTCCCTGTCCCTTCTCATCGCCCTGGGGGCTGGAGTGCCACGAATGAGGTGTCTCAGTTGGGAGCCACATCAGTGAGGGTTGGGGTTTTTTTAGGAGTATTTTTGCTTCTCACTTGTGCAGTCCCCAACTGATTTTTCTGTGGATCAGTGGCCCTCAACCCTACCATAAATAAAACATTGAAACCGTTTGTATTGGATATAAATAAATATTTTACTTTATTTAAGATGAAGTTTGATAAACTAACATGAGAAACGCTTAATCTGTTTAACAATTTAAATTACAGGCAGTCCCCGGGTTACATACAAGATAGGGACTGTAGGTTTGTTCTTAAGTTGAATTTGTATGTAAGTCGGAACTGGTACATATTGTAGGGGAAACTCTAGCCAAACATTTCTCCAGAGCTCAGTTTTATTCTCCCACACCTCACTTCCCTCAGTCCTTTATTCTCAAGCTGACGTGTCTTCTGAGAAAAGCCGCTCCGGGTCTCCCTGGTCTGCTGGGGAGAAGCAGCTAGTGCCGGGTTGCCTCACCCCGTTTGTAAGTAGGGATCCGATGTAAGTCAGATCCATGTAAACCAGGGACTGCCTGTAAACTGTTTTTGCTAGCTGCAGCAGGGGTTCAGAAAATATGGTACCATACCCAGCCGACTCCTGCCTACCCCCCACCCCATCCGTAAACAGAAGAAAGTAAAAGCTTGGCACCGCCACTTCTGAAAGGTTGCCGACCCGATCTAGGGCTCCTAGCCCTGGAACGAGTTCCGCACGGGCACAGTTTCGTGCCTGCACTGAGCCCCAAAGACACCAGGATCCATCCTGTGACCTGCCTCCCTACCCGCTCCTAGCGTTACTGGGCGAGCAACCCCATTTATGACCAGGAGCATGGCGCTAACGCAACAGGTCACTTGGCTTGTGTGGCAGCCGGGCTCCCCGCTGAAGCGCGGCAAGGGGCCGTTTGCAGCGCCCACAGCACCGCGCACAAGGAGCGGAGCGGGAGGGGACAAGGCTGTTCGGGGCCAGGGCTGTTTGCCCGGGCAGCTCCGGAGAGGCCACGCCCAAAGCAGCGCAGCTGGGCAGGGGGCGCGAGTAACGCTGCGGGCCGCTGCTGCCCAGCCCAGCCTGCGGAGCCCCCGCTGAAGCGCGGCAAGGGGCCGTTTGCAGCGCCCACAGCACCGCGCACAAGGAGCGGAGCGGGAGGGGACAAGGCTGTTCGGGGCCAGGGCTGTTTGCCCGGGCAGCTCCGGAGAGGCCACGCCCAAAGCAGCGCAGCTGGGCAGGGGGCGCGAGTAACGCTGCGGGCCGCTGCTGCCCAGCCCAGCCTGCGGAGCCGGCCCGCAGAGAACCTGCGCCGCCCCGTGCAAACGGGA